CAAGTAAATTTCTTGACATGATGAATGAGGATACATGCATAATACTTGCATAGTTCCGGTGTCTATGTATTATAAATCTAATCATTTTACCAATCGTGTATCTAATAAAATGCTCATTTCTTCCTTATAAAGCTTCTGGAGGGAGACCTTTTACTTTACCGAGGTCAGGGTCTTTAAGTTCTGAAAAAGTAGATCTCCCAGAGGAATTCAAGGAAATTTGCAACTTGGGAACAATCAAGCAGAGTCCTCTGACAGGAGTTCGTGTAAAATCAAATGAACAAGCAATTAGAAAATCTTTCATTGCACCGAACATTGTACCTCGGGATGTTCCTGAGGGTAAAGTCTCAGCAAAATCTGAAAAAGAGACCATCACCTTTTCAAAGACTAAGCCTGGAATGTTACTCAAACCAGCTCATGTACGGAGAGCATCCACTGGCAGATTTGATGTTGATAGGTTTTCAGAAGATATGAAGTCTGGAACCTTTTGTGATCCTGCAATTAAATTAGACAGCACAAAAGAGCCCAAGTTCCAAACAAATCTGGGACCTCCGAATGAAGTCAAAGAATCGTGTGAAGACAAACATCCTATCAAGAGTGTTACAGACAAGTTTGACAAGATTTTGTCTCCGAGTAGATTTTCCGACCAAAAGAAATGTAAGTTTTCTTATTAACCACTGAGCATATCAAATGCAACTTATTGCCGATTTTGTAGTTCCCTATCCCTATCATATTTTCTTAATCTCTTTTATTTGGTTTACTGTTCCATTGCTATAAACAAATTCTCTTTGACTCAGCTATACCGTCCGTAGATTGTTAACTTCATTAGCCTCAAGTATTTAAGCTCTCAATTATTGAATTGTTGTTTTTTCTCCTTTGATCCCAATCTATATTTTACTTAATGCCACTTGCTTCCTTAACCCTCTCAATAAAGGCTAATTTCTAATCATACTTTGTTCGGAAATATTTACATTTGCCCCTTGGTTTTAAATATATCGAAATGTTATGAAATTCTCTGTAGCAAAGTTTGCCTTTGACTTCCAACTGATATTTCCTTTGAAAAATAGTGAATAAACTATTGGCTAAGACTTTGGAGAGATAAGTTCTTTTTAGGGATGTGAACAAGCAGGTATTCTGGCAAGTAGCTTGTTGAGATTTGGTTCTGCTTTAGTAAAAGAGCCGAACTTCCATTTATGAGGTCATTCAAACAGAGATGTTATGCATACTTTGGCTTATTATTTATGATTAAAGTTGAGTCTTTCGAGTTTAAAAGTGTCATTCTTATTATATTTTAGGTGATAAATCCTCACCTCACAAGGAAGAAAGTAGTCCAGTTAAATACGTCAATGGAGGTCTGCAATCTCTTATATATGCAATTTTAATCTCTTATATATACACTGTAAAAGCCACTGAAAATTGAATATTTTTATGTCTATTCGTGCAGTTGCTGTTGTACGAGGAAGGACCCGGTCATTGGTTGAAAGGTTTGAGAGACGGGAAAAGATTCAAATTGACGAAGATCAAACTAATGAATTCCTCCCCACAATAAATGAAACGAGAGAAGAAGTTCACCAAGAAGATCAAATAAAAGCATCTCCCACAGTCACCATAGTATGTGAGAAGAGAGAAAAAACTCCCTTAATTGAAGATCAAAACAATCTGCCCTCTGTTCCCAAGACGACAATATTGGAAACTGATAAATCTAATGACCCACTGGTAAATTTTTCTCCACTTTACGAGTGTTATGATACTAGCATATTCTTTGTAGCTTCCAGTTTGTTTTGTGGTGAAAATTATGTTTGTATATGAAGGTCCATAGGTTCCAGTTTTTATACTTTTAAGCCAGAAGCTAACCTATTGAAATTTTGATAGGGTTGATAATTTGGTATGGGTATTTGTGACTTTGTTTGTATCAATGCGTACACTAGAGAGACACATTCAATGGGGTTTCCTTCCTGGAAATACCTATAATCCATCCATTCATACCATTGTTTCACTTTACAAACCAAATACATCCTTAGGCTAACAATTAATTTCATAAAAACAGGAAAAACAACCAATCACAGATTTCTCATATATTTCCAACATTCTCAAAGAAATCGATGACTCATGCATGATACATTCACACACGACTTACATGTACAATTTCAATTGGGTCTATACATTCTCACACAAGCATTCTAAAACACATTAGAAATCATACAGCATATTTCTCCTTTGGAAATAACTAGTTCCCATCCTTTTGTAAAATACAACTTTTTCAAGTATATTGCACATCAACTTAACTGCACATTTTACGACTGCACATTTCTCTAAAATTCACTGTCCATCTTCTTTTATAGTGTACGAAGTAAAAAAAAAGGATTTCATATATATATATATATATATATTGAAAGAATGTGAAAAATCAAATTTAATCATGAACTCATTTTCACAAATTGTTACTTTTTTGTAATTCAACTAAATAGTGTTTATGTTTATCAATATTGCAGAAAGTTGAGCCTCAAATCTCTATACGGCATTCAAACTCTGCAAATGAGGAAGAAATCATTGAAGGTCTGATGCAAACTCATGATGTAACATTGAGTAATCTTCGCTCACGCTTGACAAAGTTACAGGTAAGTTTTGCTAGTTGTTAATACTCAATGTTTCAGTCTGTATTATTCTTAGATGTGGAACTCATAACAGTGTTGGCCTTATGCTGTAACGCTGATGTACAATTTTATGATTGTCTGCTAAACAGGGCTACAGAAAGAAAATGATAAAAACTAGAACCACTTTGTAACTAACTTACTGACTCGTCATGGTAATCCTGTTTACTTTTGTAGGTTGTGCGGCACTTTTGGGAGCGCAATGATATTAAAGGCGCTACCAGTGCTCTGAGAAAGCTGCCAGATCAATCTGTGCGTATTTTATGAGTAGTGCTACGGCACTTGTAGGCTTCTTTTTGTGGTGTTTTTGTACTCTAACTAGAAAGTCATGGTTTTATTATTGAATATACAGTCCTAAAAATAGTTTCGTTTTGATGCAGGTTCAAGCAGATGTTATCAGTGTCCTTGTGGAGAAGATGGAGATTTTCACCATGGATTTATTTTCTTGCTTACTTCCTGTGCTCACAGGCTTGCTTGATAGCAAGATAGAAAGGTAATCGTTTATTAATATATTGGTTTTAAAAACACATGGTGATACCCCTGCCTACTTCTGTTGATGAACACGGGACTTATTATTTTCTCATATTTACTCTGTTCTCACTGTACAGACATGTCAAGGTGTCACTGGATATGCTGTTGAAGCTTGTAGCAGTTTTTGGTCCAACAATACGTGCAACTGTTTCAGCACCTCCCTCTGTTGGTGTTGATCTACATCAAGAGGAAAGGTGACCTCCATTTTCACATATTATTCTTTTCCCTTTCTCATGTGTTTTATGTGAATGAACCTAACTTCTATAAAATCTTGAGGACAGACGAGAATGCTGCAACCAGTGCTTTATGGAACTGCAAAAGATCCAAATGATCCTTCCAATACTGATACGGTAATCATGCAGTTTTTATTGGTGTTGACAAATATGTAAATTGAAAACAGTTTTTGTTAATCTATTTCAAAAATTTTAACATTTGTTTGACATTGAAAATATCAATCTTATGGTGGGAAAAGGCAAGTGGGGGTATGCAACTAAAAATTCTAGTAAAAGGAATGTTACAGAATATATCAGTTGTGGGGGCATTTTTTTTTCCTTTTTGGCATACTATTCATGTTTCTATTTTTGATGAAACATAAATATATCAGTTTTCCTAAATAAGTACTATTAACTTATTACCAGTTTATTTACATCTCATCAAGAAAATAAATCACATCACAGCTTCATTTTCTTTTTTGCTGCAGGAGGGGTGGACTATTGGCCAGGTCTGCCCTAGAGTTAAATCTTGTCCTTCAGCAGTCCTAACTGAAAATGTTGTATGAACTTTATGTCAAATTGTGAGGGAGTGACGTGGCTCAATATGCTTTAAGGCAGGACTGTGCTCAAAACTTGCAGGTTTCATGTTGGGTTACTGTGATCGCAGCCAACAATTTTGTCTTGATGATTTGCTCTATTAGCTGTCATCATCGGCTTTGTTGATGGAAGAGCATTATATCTAATGATATTTGGAAGAAAGTTGTTTTAGCTCGTGTTAAGACACTTAAAGCTAGAACATCCATCTCAGGATCTTGGTCTTCCAACAGTTGTTTGTGAAGGCTTGTGTCCATAACTTCACTGATCTTGGCTATATTGCTTGTACCTATTTTTTTTTTCTTCAATTGTTGTCTGGTTACTACCGTTAATACTCACCCGAACTGAGGTTTGGTGCGTATAATAGTGACTATAAAGCATATGTATCAGTCAGATGTATGTAGTAGTAGTAGTAGTCATGCATATTTCTTATGTATATCTCATGTTCTAATTTCAATGAAATGGAGCTTCATTTTTTTGTTCAAACTGCTCCAGCTTCTTTTATTTATATATGCTGCCTACCATGTCCTCTAGGATTATCATGTTATAATCAAACCCACTATGCTTAATTTATTGTCCACTATAAACAATCTGTTATTATATTATTGATTTAAAAATTACTAATTTTTTCATAAAAAATATAAAATATTTAAAAAAATCGGCTTAATTATAGAAAATGTGCAGAAAAATTGCACTCAAGAAAACTAAATGACTGAAGTATAACCTATATAAACAATTTCCATTTTTTACGTGCTTATATATGTGGCATTTGTTCTATGCAAGTTTGTTGGTTACGTAAGCCAACAATTCCCAATGTGAAAACAAAATATCATCATGATAAACCAAAACATAACAATAAACAATTAAACCAAAGCATAAGGCATACGAAAATGGACAACTTGTTAAACAGCACTTTCTAAAATTAGGCTTTCATCCTCTAAAGAAACTTGCAATATATGAAAAAAAAAGTTAGCAAATTCATTAATTGAAGAATGCAGAGAAAGTTGTGGAGAGAGAAAAAAAACAGTGGTAGAGAGAGAAAGAGAAGAGCCATAATTAGAAACGTACAACTGTCAATTTTTCAACATCCACAATTTTGTTTCTATATTTTATGATGTTACTGTAATTGTTTTTTAAGATATTCCAACTTCAAATTCGAAACCTTTCTGTGAGCAACAATTAGAATCTCTCAGCCCCTCATTTCACGCATACCCTGTCAACTAAATTTACATTCTTTCGCCCAAACAAAACATGTCAGAAAACCACATCGAACTAACAAAAACCACCGTTTCCCCAAAATTTTCCAGAAAATAGCTCTTGTTGTCTTGTCCCTCCACACTCCCAAGTCATTTTTGTTCAAGCTTTCCTGACCAAAAAACATGGTGGTTTTTTTTCTATAACAAAGGCAACATTTTTCTGGCTGCATAGGATATTATTAAAGAAGGGTTATTAGATGTGAAAGGTGATGGGAGCAGAGACGTTGAAGGGGTGGGGCACCTGGGAGGAGCTCCTCCTTGGTGGGGCCATTCTCCGTCATGGAACCAAAGATTGGAAGGTCGTTGCCACCGAGCTTCGAGCCCGAACAGTTTTTCCTTACACCATTACTCCTCAGGTAAAAAGAACAATTAATAATTCATTAAACAACTTTTATTTTTCTTTCCTTAATTTTCGATTTTAAAAGTAAATAAAAATAAAATTCACTTGCATTATTTCTTTTATACTTTATTTGAATTTCGTTTCTTATTTATTATTTTCTTTTTAATGGATTATATTATCATAAAGTTCATACTATTTTTAAATATATTTAAAACTTCAATAATAAAAAATTACTAGAAGCATTGATGTGAAAGATTTTGAATTTTTACGTGTGAAAATTTCATTGTTTACTTTTTTTGCAAGCAATTGATTTCAGCATTATAACAAATATTTTACTATGTTTGTTGAATTTCTTTAATAACCTGTAAATTTTATTGTATGAGTTAAGTTGTCTTACATGAGAGTGAAACCTTCTAGGCAATTTTTTCTGCTAAAGTAAATGTTTTAATCTTCTTGTCCATAAAATAATATATTTATTATGGAGGTATAATTGAAAACCTAAAATACTTGTGGAAAGTAAGAACAAAGAGTAAAAATAAAAGCAAAAAGAAAATCATAGTCGAGCAATTTTCTTTTTTCTTTTGAATTTACTGGTACAGCCGTTACACAGTGGTGACGTCTGATCCTACTGTGTTGACTCTTTAAATTGATTTCGTAGTCTATGAATTATAATTAACTCATATCAACTAGATAATGGGTTATTTTTTAATGGAATTAATATGGATTATAGTCAATATATGTTTAGTTTATTTTGTACCTATAGTTTAAAATGAAAGATTGTTTCAATAAAAAATAACTAGGAATGACAATAGGAAAAAAAAAATCATCCGTTAGTTATTTTGTTATATTAGTTAGATACTAATTTAAAAAATATTTTTTTAAGTATTTTAAAATTTACTAAGTATTATATATGAAGATATTTAAAAAAAGTATTTTATAAATTATAAAAATAAAATTTAATAAAATATAAATTAAAACTTAACTTTAAGTTTTTGTAAGTAATAAATATTTGCAAGTAAACATTTCTCGTATTAAAATATATGCTGTCTGCATATAAAATTTTATATGAGATATGTCAGTACTGTTGTCATTTCTATTTAATATAGGATGTAAATGAGTAAAAAGGAAAAATATATATTTTAAAATTTATATTATTTGATTAATTTAAAAAAAATATTGAAATTAATACAAAACATGCATATGAAATTGTCAACATTTTACATCATAACTTTCAAATAGATATTGCAATGACACCTATTATGCTTATTATTTGAAATGATGAATGATAGTCGAATTAAGTGTTTCATAATTATGATAATCAATAAATATAATCATGTGTAATTAGGAATACTGAGGTTATGGAGGAACATTTATTATTTATTTTTTTTATCGATCTAAAAACATTTCTAATGTTCATTTCATACCTACTTAAAAATATCCACTCAATTTTTATATAAAAATTTTCGTTTAATTTTAAGGAATAAATTTGAAATAGATATATTTATAATTTTTTAATTTAGATATAAAATTAAAATTCATCTTAATATCAAATTTCGATATATATTTTAGTATTTAAATTTTAAAATTAATAAATATAAAATATAGTTTTCTTAATTAAGCAGTATTAACCTTTTTATGATAAATGTTTTTCTAGACATTAGAATATGTGAAATCATTTAAACAACTTAAATGTCAGTCAGTCAATAATTACTTTTGACAGTAAAAAGTGTAATACATTTAAATTAGATAATTATATCTATTTATTTTAAAATTTAGTGGCTAAATTATATCTTTGAAATAAAAACAAATTTTAATTTCTCTCCAAAATTTAAAAATAAAAATCATATTTAATCCTAATTTGATTTAAGATCATCTAAAGAAAACAATTCTTTAGAACATAAATTCAGATAAAATCAAATATAATTATATAGTAAAATATTAATACTAATAAAATTACTTAAAAAAATAAAAGTAGACTGCGCCACAAAGTATAAATTGTAATAAAATTATAACTGCTAACTCCATCTGTCTAAAAAAATACAAATTTATAAAATCAAACTCAAATGATTATTTAATTGTGAAGGTTTAATCATCAATAATGTTACTTTATTAACTTGTTTTTAAAAAAAAATATTCAAATAAAAACTACTAACTAAGAGTAATAAGTATTTTGCAATTTAAATATCAATAGCATTCGTAGTTATCTCATTATAAACATTAATTAAAATGTTTATATTTATTATTCATGGATATCCATTAATAATATATTTAGATAAAGTAAGTCAAGAGAATTCTTTATTTATTTGATAAATTTAAAACAAATTTAGAGTATAATAAACAAATTAAAAGAAAATTAAAATTTAACAATTTTCAAAAAGTACTTCAAATATTTGAAATTCACTTCAAGAAATTATAATTTCAAAACTAGTCACTTATTAAAAAAATGAATATTTAAATTTAACTACTATATTTTTAAAATTTATATTTGAAAATAAAATTTTATCTTAAAATAAGAATACAATTACTTTATTAAATTAGAAAATCGAAATGCAAGACATTTTAATTATTCTATATAAATAAAATATCTAAAAAGTAAAAACAATAATAGTAAGTAATTCAAATATTACAAATTTAAATTCTTCAAAATTGCATAAATCTCGTATCCAAACACAATATAAAGTCAGTCATTTGATACCTATTTGAATGTTATCAAGAATACAGGGAGATATGATTTTTTTTCTTTGTCATCCGTACATGTATGAAATAAAAATCATGATTAAAATGTTTATATGTCTGAATGTAGTAGGTTTAAAGAATTTTGTAAGATATAGTTGGACAAACTTTCTATGTAAAATAAATAAGTAAAAAAGGAAATAAAATTAGTCTATGAACAAGTTTAAAAACATAAAAGTTATATATAAGATCAATTTTATAGATTACCTTATGCATAAATTAATTTTAGCCTCTAAACAATTTATTTCATTCTTTTTTTTAAAAGTATTTATAGCTAAATTGAATAAACTAATTTGTCAATGGCTAAACCATATATTCATGCCAAATTATCAATAATACCAATCTTCATTTGAGTCCATGAGATGTCAAAAGTCGTCTCTTTAGTCTTTAGTCTTTGATTGCAGTAGGCATGTAAGTTTTGCAGGTATGTAAAGCCAAATATGAAGATCTGCTGCAACGATATTCTGGAAACAAGTAAGTATAATACATTTCTTAAAAGAAAATTCAACTTGTAGATTTTAAGAAATACACTTTGAAGATTCCAAAGACATCCTTTGCTTTTTCTCATTGTAATATGGTAAAAATGACATTTTTGTTCTCAAGTTCAAAGGAATGACATTCTCAGGGCTTGGTATGAGGAGCTTAGGAAGACTAGAGTGGCAGAGTTGAAGAGATCTCTAGAGATATCTGAAGATTCAATTGGGTTAGTTGCAATTTTTTCGCTTCAAGCTGGGTTTTTGCTAGAAGAGACAACATAGTATTTATTGTCAGATACAACAAGTCTCAATTTGTTTGAGGTTTTCATTTTTGTTTTCCATAAATGAAATGTTCATGTTCAGTGGAATGAAGGCACATGAGAGAAAAAATTCAGAGTCCTTGACTGGGGATAAATGTTGGAAAACTGGTATGCTTTTTTGGGTGTAGTTTACAAAATATATATCTTTGTTTCAGGTCTCTTGAATCTAAGCTTGAAAGACTGAAGGGTGGTAAGAATGAGAAAAGAGATGGTTGTGATGTTGATAATGGATCAGGTCGTCCAAAGTTGCATGTAGCTTCACATAAATTAGAAAGAGTCGAATCTTCCACCAAAGACACATCAAAGGATGGACTGTCTGCTGGGAGTTTCACACATGAAACTCTTCCATCTGTTCCTGTTGAACATTTCGAGACCAAGCCTGACAAACTTTTGAATGTAGATAAGTTAGCATATACTGTATACCAAGGAGAAGGGGGAACTTTTAAGAAACGAAGAGGGAAGAGGAAAAGGAAGTATTGTGGCAAAAATACCAAGGAACCAAGTATGGCAGAGAGTGTTTTGTTAGATTCAGTTGATGTTATGTCATGGTGTAAAGAAAATTCTACCAGTTACTACAGTGAAGTTGCCAAATCAAGCGATGTAAATTATCAGAATAGGAACTCGAAAAAGAGTAGGGTGGAAGACATGGTGAAGATTTTGGATTCTATTTTTGAAACTAAATGTGCTTCTGCATTTCGTCGTAGACTTGATAGTCAGGTATGTGTAATTAAACAGTCTCATCTTTCAAACAGTTCTGTTGATGTAAATGCCGTGAATGGATAAATGGAGTTTGATCTTTACCCTGTGGTTTTAGTTTTGTGGTAATCTGTTTGTTGTTCTACTATTTAACAACAGAAGAGAGGAAGGTACAAGAAAATGATCCGACAACACATGGACTTTGACACCATAAGGTCAAGAATTAGCAACCAAACAATTAGATCATGTGTAGAACTTTTTCGAGACTTGCTTCTACTCACTAACAATGCTTTGGTTTTCTACTCCAAGAACACTCGTGAATACAAATCTGCTGTACTATTAAGAGACATTGTGACAAAAAAGATAAAGGAAAGTTTGAAGGACTCGAGTAACAAAGTCACCAACACCCAGGTTACTAATGCGCCTATGAATAATCCTCATGTGAAACCAAAAAACATACGATGTGGAACTAGAAAAACAGTAGCAAAAACAGGTGGAGGAAATATTTCTGTGTCTGGAGTTTCACATGGTACAAAGAAACATAGTAAAGTCGATTCTCCATCTTCTGTGGAATCCCTGAGCGTGAAGAAGAGAGGTTTTGGTCGACCAAAAAAGGTTGGACGAGGATCTGCAAGTCAAAAGCCTGCAGTGCCAATGAAGGGAAAGAAAAAAGTTAGAAGCAAGTAATAACACATTAACCTTGTACAAAATTTTTTACTTTTTGTTGGTTAGATATTTTTTTGTCTTCTCTAGTGAAGGACCAAAAGAAACTTTATTACAAGTTGCAAGGGGAAGTTAACCACAAATATATGAAACAGCTCCAAAGTATACAGTAACTGTAGTGTATAAAAGTTTTCCATGAAAATATTCATTTTTTTTTTCTTACAACATTTAGATTTCTTGTAAACTGTTTGACTGTAACAAAAGTGTATTAAAGAATGATCATGACTGTTAGTTATGGAGTTAACTTGATTTATGGGTAACCTTTTATAAACGAGCATACCAGTGGTTATATTTTATAAAGTAGGAGAAGAACCACCAGTCCTTTCATAAAAAGAACAAACAGTCAACATAAAAATACACAATAACTTGTCGCCAAGAGTTCATATTTGCGATTTAAATGAGATGAGTTTAACTTTATTTAATTTTTTGAAGAATAATTAAATTCTGTATTTTTATTTGTTGTGAAAAGTGCATAGCCCTTTCCCGGTTAAGTTTTGATATCATATATAATTAAACTAACCAAAATAAATATGGTATCAAAACTTAACAATTCTTTGTATAATTAATGTATATAGACTTCAATGTAATCTTTTGGCCACATTAAATTATAGATCGAACATATAATTACATGTAACCTGTACAGATATTTTGTCACCCTCCCACAGTACTTAACTTCAGTAAGATACAAATTAATTATTAACCTCTTGATTATCTAACCAATAAAATATTATTATACAAGGCTACTACTGTGTCAACAAAATGAATATATGATTTGATATAGTTGACAATAATCAGTAAATTATGGGCTTAGACATTTTAAAACTTGCTGTTAATTAATAAATAAATGTTGTACAGGTAAAATATTTAATGACTTTTATTGTTTGTTGATTTTATTTTTTTCTAACTCTATAAATAGAGAGTTTTTTCCTTTTTCAAAAACACACCAAAAGCAGTCTTCTCTCCCTCTCTTATTTTCTTTTTCTCTTCTAAAATTATTCTACATTTATTTTATAACTTTTATACCACAATCTTAAGGACTTATGGATGACATCAACAACTCAATCCCGGAGGTTCAAAACTTTGTTTTCAGAACTCAGACGGTATTTACGAAACCCATAACTTCCAGAGGCTGCCAAGGTGCTTGCAGCAACGATGACTTATGATCGCATTTGTAAGGACCGCGGATGAGAACGAAAAAGATGAGGTACTTGAGTAAATTTTCATATATTTTACCTACAAAGAGAAAAGCACAACCATGTATTTTCTCGTTTACCAATCTTAAATATTTTAAAATTGTGGGTGTGTAGGTAATTTTACTTAATTACTCGAAAAATAAATTTTGGCTAACTATTCATTTGTAAATGAAGTGGTTGAGGGTGATTACACAAATAAATTTTTCACTAATCAAATATTCTCCTCACGTGATGGTTTAATTGATTGGGTTCGAAATATTGCATTTGACCTTGGATTTGTAATAGTTATTATAAGATCTGACACATCAACGGTTGAAATTGGAAGAAAAACATTTGTTTTGTTAGGATGTGAAAGGAGTGGAAAATATAGGAAGTATAAACCAAAATGTTCAGCCAGTGTGTCCGACACAAGAAAATGTGAGTGTCCGTTTAGGTTGAGAGGTAAACCTAAAGGAGAGGGTTGAGTCTTAACTATTATGTGCGACTATCACAACCATGAATTACCACAGAGTTTGGTTGGTCATCCTTTCGCTGGGAGGTTAAATGCTGATGAACACTCAATTCTTGTTGACATGACTAAAAATCAAGTCAAACCCTCAAATATTCTTTTGACTCTGAAAGAACGTGATGATAAATAAAATCAATAAAATATATAAATAAAATTAGAAATTAAAATTTAAATAACAAGCAAACAATTTTTTTTAAAAAGTTTAAATAATTAATTAATGAACAATACGTAAATAAATTTAAAGTAAGACACAAATTACAAATTCAAAATAATAATTTAATAAAAAAACAATTACATAATATATAATATTTAATTAAATAATAAATACAATAAAACATTACACATTAAAAAATATATAAACAAATCAATAACTAAAAAAATACAGAAAACAATAACATAAAAAATTAATACTTAATTAAATAAAATATATAAAATATATTACAATTTAATATTTAATTAAGAAACAAATAAAACACTTTTAAAAACTTTAAATAATTACATAATAAATAACACGTAAATAAATAACAAATATAAAACATATTACAAATTCAAAATTAAAAAATTTCATAAAATAATTACATAATATATAATATTTAAATACACACAAATAAATATATAAGAAATTATTCATTTCAAACACATTATAAATAAAAAATTAAATCATTACTTAATAAATAATTAATAAAATCAACAAAACAATAAAACCATTAATTGATAAAATCAATAAAATATATAAATAACAAACAAGCAAAAAAGTTTTAACAACTTTAAATAAATCAATAATAAACAAATCAATAATAAACAATACGTTAATTAATTTTAAGTATTACACAAATTACAAATTCAAAATAACGAATTTAACAAAACTAAAATAATTACATAATATATAATATTTAAATAAATACAAACAAATATATATCAATTTATTTATTTCAAACATATTTTAAAATTAATACCTACTAAAACTTAAAAACAAAACAATTTAAAATCCAAATCAATATTAAAATAACAAAAACAAGAAAATACATATGTGCATCTCAAACTGCGGCAGAGGCTTATGAGGCGTTGGAAATTGGGTGACTCAGTAACCGGCGTTCGAACGCCAACGACGCCTTAACCGTAATTCAAATTTTGGTTAAGGTTTTCGAGCTTCGATTCACGCCATTCAACGACAAATTCAACCATTTTTAATCCATTCCAACAATCTTTAATCCTATTTCTAAGTTCAGTCATATAGTTCAATCTAATTTCTACTACAATCTATATATACATACAACAACATTGCAAACGATAATGGATAGAGGAGAGAATCAAAAACTAACTTGCACAAATCAAAGCTGCGGAGAGGAAGTCCAATACCGCCACACACCACCGAAAACGACGACAACCAACAACAAACCAACTGAAACAAACCTCAGGACAGATGACCGCAACCCACAAACATGGTGAGAGACTTCGAAATGCAGAGACGGAGTTGTCAGTGGAGGCCACGACAGAGTCCCGCGGGTTTCCGAACTACATAGGATTTTTCAAAGTGAGGAATGACAAAGGATGTTAAAACGACACAGTAAAGTTCTTTTTGAAGGTGCGAGGGGAGTTTTTTTGGGTGTAGGGTTTTCATTTTAAAATACCAAACACAGTCAAAGATTCTCTGAAGTGTACTTGTAGATTTTCAGAAGGTTATTAAAGTAAATTTAGGGGTGCAGGATGAGATTACGGAGGTGCAAGGAGGAGAGCTCTTATCTATTTTGTGTCTGCTTTCACTGCGAATCAGGGGTCAGGGTCAGTGTTTAATAATATGAAACTGCATATGGCTTTTCAAATGATAATAATAATAAAAAAGAAGAAGTTGTTTTTCACATAAACTTTGGTTAGATTCACATAACATTTTTTTTCATCAAGAGGCCGTCTTTTTGCATTTTCTAAAAGATGTTTACTAGAGATGAATGTAGATTTGATTGTTTTTTAGAATAAAAGAAATACTTTTATCTTTATTTTTAGAATAAAATTAAAGATGAAATAAAAATTAATATAAGTTTGTTAAACTGTTTAATAAATTAAAAATGTTTCAATGAATTAAAATAAGAAACAAGTGCGAGTACAAAGATAAATATTAAATGACAATATATTTATTTTTATCCTTATATTTTTTTTATAATAATTAAGTATTACTTACTACTTTCATATATACTTGTACTTTGTAATTCTTACTTTATGAATTTAATCACGTTTTTTTATTATACTTAAAAGATATGTTAGATATGTTTTTTCCTTTAAAATTATTTTAAAAATTTGTATTTCGTCATTAAATCAAACTATATACCTACATTTTACAAAATTCATGGTAAAATATCTCCGACTAAAATGCACCTGGATTATTTCATATGTGATGAACACTGTTCTATAACTTGCACTTGTTTGTTTTCACAAAGTAAAAAAAAAAACACATATCTGTATTTAATTTAGAAATAAAATATCATTTTTAAAAATTAAAAATATATTTAACCTTAAAATATTTACAGAATCTTTAATCCACTTAAAAAAAGCAATAGAATATGCTATCTACATCAATCAACGGTTTTACACTAATACAAAAAATTATAAAATATTTTGTAAAAATTTGCCTGAAAATGGTAATCTGTAGTTAACCAAATCTTAAAAAATTATTCTACTTAAACAATAATATTAACATGTGATTATGAACTATAATAAAGATAGATGATTTAATTAATTAAAAATTTATTAGACATCCTATAAAATCATTTTTTATTTTTATAAAATTTGTACCTAAAGAAACATAGTTTTATATTTTAAGGATGGAAAAATATGTTAATGTGGTGCAGACCAAAACAACCAAAAGGATGCTTTCCATGACAACATTTACTTGTTCTTTTTGGAATTTTGAAATCTTAAGCGGGTGCACGTGGGATCATAAACTCCATCACGTGACTATCACTGTGAGTCTTTTGAAAAATAATTAACTACACTTTTGATGAACTGCCATAAAAGGAGTGAATTAAATTTCAGTAACTATTTAATGAACAAGAAATGTAAATGTGTCAGAAAAAACATTTTCCGCTTCTACCTATTAATCTATAAATAATTATTTTCTAAGATTAATATATATACATCATTTGGGTGAATGTGTATGGTATAAAAGCATTAAGAAGGTAGAGTGTTAGGTTAGGTTGGTCCCCTGCCATAACACCTACTAACTTGCAAGCTAGCAAGCTAATTAAACCTACAAAATTCACATATTAACAAACCAAATCTGTAAATTATGTATAATTATATAATTTAAAAAAATAAAAATGATTAAGGGTAAGATTTGTAACCTTAATGTCTGGGATGAGCTACAGAATAAGGGACATTTTAGTGATGCAGGTCCAAAGTTTCATC